CATGTGGCTCGCAAGCCGCAGTTTGCCGAGTCGCAGTTTGCTGACTACTGGCTAGCTAAACCCATAGGCCATAGGCATTGCCTCCACGCAGAAACGTGCAACACATAGAACACATGCGGAGATCAGCAGGGGCAGTTGCCGACACCACACTGATCCATTTCCATCAGGATAAACACCTCTCGTTACACCCCGTATTACCCACTGTGCAAGCAAACCAAGGCACACACACAGACACGTGCTCGCTCCCTTGGGCGGTTAAATGAAGTGAGGACCTCAGGGACAGAGGGGAGGACCGGCCTCCTCCGTCCTCACCAAGGGGCAGCAAGCAGCCTTCACCTGCTCTGAATGTCCTCCAGCCTCTCGTAAAGCCCTGGCTTGTTGGTGGCTTCCACTACATTTGGAGTTTTCTGAGCATCATAAGCGAGCTCTTTAAAGTCCATGTCGATGCCCTTAAATCTTTCAGAATCCTGCAAATAAAAACAGGGAGAAAATGAACTCCCAGCCCCCTCCATGCTAAGAAGCCCCCTTACGTAGCGAGTCAAACAAAAACCTGTTTCTAGGCTGTCCTAAGACTCCAAGAAGGCAATACCTTTAGCTTAAGCCTGGAGCTCACAAACATTTTGGTCTTAATATTCCCTTACACTGTAAAACAATTGATGGAGTACAAAGAGTTGAACCTCTTTGTAAGTAGACAATTATATCTATCAATATATCCTCTACATTAGAAGCTATAAAAATTTCGAAGTTGAAAAATTTTAAAAATATGCTAATTCATTTAAAAAGTAACAATATTAATCTTATTAGTTAACATAATAACACGTATTTGTCTAACATAATATTTGCCAGCCAAGCTGGTGTGGCTCAGTGATTGAGCATCAATGCATGAACCAAGAGGTCCCCAGTTCGATTCCCAGTCAGGACACATGCCCAGGTTGTAGGCTCGATCCCCAGGGGGTAGGGAGGGCATGCACAAGGAGCCAATCAATGTCTCTCTCTCATTGATGTTTCTATCTCTCTCTCCCTCTCCCTTCCTCTCTGAAATCAATAAAAACATATTAAAAAATCAAATAATATTTCCCAAACAAAATAACTCAGAGAAAGAAGTAGCATTATTTTACTTCTTCTTCAAATCTCTTTTGTGTCAGGTCTAACTTAGAACACGACCAGACTCTCCCGTCTGCTTCTGCATTCGGTCTGTTGTGACAGCTCATGTCACACGGCTCCTGGAAAGCCCCACTGCCTGCTCATGGAGGGATGAGCATAAAAACCCAATAAATACACTTTAGCTTGTTATTAAGGTAGGTTTGGCCTTGAGGATCTCCTGAAAAGGTCTCAGCGACCCCTCAGGGGCCACTGAACCACCCTTTGAGAGCGGTTGGCATTAAACAATAATTCCTAAGTCAGGTAGATAGTGAACCCAATAGTTTTTTCTGGGTCCATGCAGAAGTTTTGTACTATAACCAAGGTAAGTTTTTCCTCAGCAAATGTAATGTCAAAATTAAATAGATACCATTGTTTCACCCAAACACCCACAACCTCACAGGGTTGCTGAAATGACTGAGACAATAATATATGATATGCAAAGCACTTTATCCCAATACCTGGCACCTGCTTACAGCTATGGTATTATTATTGCATACAAACAACCATAATGGTGTATACGATGTGTACTATTTAAATTAACTTCCTGCAGTAGGCATCAATATTAGTCCCAACTGGGATGTGAGGAAACTAGGGAAGAGAGAGGCTAAGTAACTTGCCCAGGCCCTGCAAGTGGGACCGTGAGGACTCGAGCCCACCCGGTGGCCTGTCCGCTCCAGACCTCTGATTCCACACCTCTCTCCTAAGAAGGTTTACCAACCAGAGGGCAGGGTTGAGTAAATCATGATTCCTCAATGAGATATTTTACTCCAATTAAGGATGACAAAGTATCAAGGGTACAGACGTATTGGAAATATCCAGCATAAATGTTTGAATAAAAAGAGCTGGATAAAAAGTATAGTTATGCCAAGAACAATTATGTAAAACTATGTACATACATGAACAAAAGTTGGGAAATATTCATAATTGAATGTAATTAGCTACTAGTCAGAGTGTAAGATTATGACTGATTTTGTTGTTTTGAAATTGCCTCTGTTGTTGCATTGCTAATACAAAGAAAATGAATGTATATTTACATATTTTAACACCAACCTGTGTTGAGAAGTTAATGATGCTAATTCTTTATTATGTGTAATTGCAAGTTTTTGAATGCTCCCTATAAAGTCTACAGAAGTCTCCACCTGTGTCCTTACCTTCTAATGAGACCTGCTCCTCCTCCATCACGGGCATTGGAGGGAAAAAGTCTGGCTTGCTCAGTGTGGCTGAATTACAATGGCTCTAACAGAATTGTTACTTCTCTGTTGCCTTTCATTCCAAATGTACAACCTTTAATCTGCATTATTACATTACACATGCTTTTGTGGGATGAGTTGGAAACATATAACATTTTAATGAAATGTGCTTTAACTTTCAGGCAAGACCTGAACTACATGTTACATTTTGGAATCAAACTGATTTGTAAGCAAAGAACTTTCTGTGCTGAAGAGATAGAGAAAAAGGCCACAAAAAATAAAAAACGTTGTAAATGAATTAGAGCCCACTGAGAGGAGGGTGGGATAATGGCACAATAATTAGGACAAGAGGCAATCAACCTCGGGGAAGGGAGAAATGAGAACACATGTTTTAGAGAAATTCATCGCTCACTATTTAGCTGAAGACAGGTATTTAGCATCTGGCGCAGACATGGGGTGTGCAGAATGGCTCACTGCTGAGAAGTAGCTGGAGTTTGCCAGCAAAGCAAGTCCCCTGCTAGTCTAGACCTGCATTGTAATGACCTGCAGAGCGACCCGTGAGCAGCTCATCCCAGACGGCAGTACTAATATTTCTCCCCTTTCTTGTATTTACTTTTTAAAAACCAAGTTCTCCTCTCTTTCCCCACCCGTCTATGAACAAACAGATACCGTGTGTTTCACCTTCTCCCTTTTTTTCCTGCCTGACTTTTGGCGGCGTGTCAGGTCAAGTTTGTTGGAGACGCCTTTGAGTGAAGCCATGGTGAGTGGCAGAGAAGGGAAGGTCTAGACCAGTGATGGCGAACCTTTTGAGCTCCGTGTGTCAGCATTTTTTTTTTTAATATATTTTATTGATTTTTCACAGAGAGGACTTGGGTGGCTTTTTCAGGGCTACACACTAGTCCAGTGGTCGGCAAACTCATTAAGTCAACAGAGCCAAATGTCAACAGTACAACGATTTAAATTTCTTTTGAGAGCAAAATTTTTTAAACTTAAACTATATAGGTAGGTACTCCTAAGGCTTAGGAAGAGCCACCCTCAAGGGGCCAAAGAGCCGCATGTGGCTCGCGAGCCACAGTTTGCCGACCACGGCCCTAGAGGATGCAGGGACTGGGTGCTCTTCCCTTGGCTCAGGTAAGGAAACAAGCAGCATTCCCTGAGCAGGTACCTGGGGCAGCTGAGCCCGGATGTCTTCGGAGCCAATGAATATGCTTTCCAGGTGGGACCATGTCCGCTGCACATCAAACCATGTGGAGATGACAGCGTCCGCGGTGGACAGCTTCTTCTGCCAGCCCGACACGTCCTCCAGGAAAAAGGCTATGTACTTGGACATCATCAGGTTCTGAAGTTGGACTTGGTTATCCTCCAAAACCTCGATGAGGTCCTCATCTGAACGCAGCAGAGGGACGCTGGTCCGCAGGTGGGGCTCATACTGGAACTCCATGCCGGCCCACGTGGCCTGCAGCTCCTTTAAGGTCTTCTCCATACCCATCTCCTTCACAGCTCTGTCCACGATGCCCTGGACCTCGTCCTCAAAGCGGTGCAACTGGAGCTGCAGAAGCTGTGCCAGGGTGGTGCCCTCGCCCATGGTGAAGCTCACGCCCGTGGCCTGCATCAGCTGCCTCCAGTGCCGCTCCCGGATGGCCGGGTTCTGCAGCTCAGCCACTGCCCTCAGGGAGGTCAGAGTGTTCAACACCATGCTCTCCAGGCCCGTGAATGCATCCCAGGCCCTGACCTCCTTGTCGAGGTTCCGCAGGTACCTGGCAAGCCTTTTGCACTCCGAGTCCATAGCCTCCACGCTGATGCTCTTCCATGGGGTGGCCTCCCAGGCACGGATGTTGGAGGTCACCATGCCAATGGTGTCCCAGAGCTCCTTCAGCTGGCAGATCTCCCTCCGGCACTGCCTCAGCTGCCTGTAGTCAGGAACGTTGACCTCAAACAAGCTGGCAGAATTGGAAATGGAGGCCATGGCGGATTCCATCTCCTGGAGCTCCCTGTGCCTGGCATCCAGGCTTTGATGAGGGTTGGTGCTATCAAACCTACAAAACATAATGTGTTCGCTTTGTAAGTGTGGTAGACAGGCCCCCATTTCCTAGAATCCCCAAACTAACACCAGCTTACATCTTTAAACGCTTTGGATTTTAGCAAAGAGCAGTGACTTCCACCAAAGCCTGGGAAGAAAAGACATTCAGGGAGGTTGGAATAGGCTAGGCATACCCAGTTGCGGGAAAGGCTATTCAAGAGGAATATCATGCATGGATCTTTTCTTCACGTGGGAGAAGGTAAAAATACTTCTCTCATCCTCTGCTTTACCAACTTCCCCATCCAGGGGTAGAGGGGGAACACCCCTTTGTCCAGCCCCCGTTAGCCTCCCTACGGTTGGCTTCTAAATCACTTGACAAGAGCATTGTCTTGTACTGTAGGTGCTGTAAAGCCAGATTCCTTCTGGGAGCTACAAGCGTAGGCAGTCCTTCAGTGACAGCGCTGGCCCTCAGAAGTCCAGCCCAGACCCCACCTGGCATTGCTCCCTCTGGGGCAGTGGCTCTCGGTCTAGTAGGATTTTCAGAGCAGATCTCCTGGAAACTTTAGATGATTGCCAGGCTCAGGCTGCTCCCCAGTCCAATTAAACCAGAATCTTTAGGTGTAGGACCCAGGGAAGGGTATTTTTCAAAGTCCTCACATGGTTCCAATGTGCCAGGTTGCCGTCATTGTCTGACAACCTGCCTCACCTTCAGGCAACAGCACCTCCGAGTTTGAGAACCACTTGAACCAAGGCCCATACAGTCACTGTGTGTCTCAAGTCCCTCTGCCAAGCTGTCCTTGATCTGCCCCTTCACCCTTCTCTGGCCTGCTCCCTCCACATCCAGCAGCAGCCTCTGGATCAGAACTTGACTTCTGTAAGCAGATACTTAGCTCTACAGTTTCAGTTCACATTTCCTCATCCTCTTCTCTCCGGTGCTTATGGCACACATCCACTGCTGCTGACCCTCACCAGTGTTAACCTACTTTATGCTGCCCCCTACCCCCGCAGAACAGCACCAGAATAGCACCTACTCCCGCATCAGAACTTTCCATGCAAAGGAACCCACAGGGGAAGATGGCATTGCCTTGGTCAGGAGAGCCCAGAACCCATGTGTTCAAGGAGCCTCTCATTTTCCTCCCTTAGCCTTGCTTTAACCCTTTCTGACCTCAGGCTTTCTTGGTTCTGTGTGGCTGGAGGGCTAGATATTGGGGATACCACGACTTCAGGGTGAATACTATGTTCCTCTACAATCAGAATAGGGCATCATCAGGTACATCATGAAGGTGAAATTGAGAGGAAATGAGTGACTAGGATTGGGCATGTTAGTTGGTGGGGTACAGAGGAGAGGCAAAAAGGAAGAGAATGACATATGAACTCTTTTTCTTGAACGGCCTCTTCTTTCAGATGTCTTTGGAAATATTCGACTGGAGAAGATGGAAAATAATCCTAATTAGAGCTATTTACCTGAACTGCTCACCATGTAAGCCCATTGATCATGGAACACAGTAACAGTTATGCCTACCATTAAATTAGTGTCAGGGTAACTTTGATCCTTCCTATCTTTGATTTCCACTTGTCCAAATACTTTGTGGCCCATGTGCTTTGATTGTGGATTTACATCTTACAAGAATGAGATTCAACATCATTGTACATCTTCACTATTCTCTGGCTCCCAAGTGTTTCAGAACGAAACAAAGGTTGGAGTCCCCAAAGTTTAGGGCCTTATGTTTGTATAGGCAAGGAGCTCACTGCCGTATAAAAGCAGTAGAAAAAGACCTAGAAGAAAAGAAAGGTAAATCCTCATGGCACGGGGTCCAGCAGGAACCATCCCCAGGCATAAGTGCCTTTCTGCTTATTCTTCATCTGCAAATACTAACTGTTGGAGAGTGTACGTTCCGCTTTTTATCTTAACTAGAATAGTCCTAAAAAGTAAACTTAGCCCTAACCGGCTCAGTGGACAGAGCATCGGCCTGGGGACTGAAGGGTCCCGGTTCGATTCCAGTCAAGGACATGTACCTTGGTTGTGGGTACATACCCAGTGGAGAGTGTACAGGAGGCAGCTGATGGGTGTTTCTCTCTCATCGATGTTTCTAACTCTCTATCCCTCTCCCTTCCTCTCTGTAAAAAATAAAAAAAATATATTAAAAATTTTTTTTAAAAAAGTAAACTTTAGCCTCTTGGTGTTAATACAAAAATCTATCAGACAAAACTCTAAAAGCCCACATTTTGTTTAATTTATTAATGGACTATAATTCAGGAATAATTTATTAGTAAGCTATGATTCAAGTGTTTGGGGGTATACGCAGAAGATAATAAACAATCTTGCTAGCCACTCTTTTCTCAGCACATATGAAATTCTTAATCAATATTGGTTCCTTAAATATTCATAAGAGGTGATCATTTGTCGAACCTATTCCAAACTTCATCAGCCCTGTGGCATAATTTTTGTTTACGGTTTAAATTTGTGGACAACCATTTCCTGTAGATGAGCACACAGAAAAATCAATTTGGCCTAAGGAGTGACAGGAACCTCTAGACATGAGGGCAGGTAACCCTCCTCCCATTTCAAAACTCTAGTGCAAATTGTCAGGATACTCATAGACCTGATTAATGTGCCTAATAAACTTGAAGCAGTTCTACAAACCCTGAGGGAGCCATACAGTATAAGAACAAGAAAGTAATAGGAGGAAAAGGGTGTAGTAAGTCTCTGAAATTAAAATAATAATGCAAAAGTATTTTAGCCTAAAAGAGAAATGCCTAGAAAGTCTGGATGAATGAAATTATAATTAAGAGAAATGGAACTATGGTGCTCATGTGTGTGATCTTAGAAAAGTGATTGATTCAGGTCTGACCGGGACATGGGCACAGGGAGAGAGGGAGTGGAATAAGTGACTTAATTCTTGGGGAGCTAGCAGTTGGTAAATGTTCATCTCAGTAACATACCTTCATATACCGTGAATGATAACCCACCTCTGCTTGATACTTCAGAGGTTATCATAAAACTCCACATATCCGATCTGAATTTGTGATCTTTCAGTTCTTCTCATTCTGTGGCCCCCCGTCTCAGTGAGCAGTAAAACAATACCTTCCACTTACTTGTACAAAATGAAAGGTGGAGAATTATGCTGGACTCTCCTCCCTATTTATCTCCCATACTCAGTCAATCCTACTGCTTCTCCCTCCCCAATCTCTCTCTCATCTGCTCTTCCATGGGGCACCTGGTCTGTTTCACCCTCATCTGTTCTCAACAGCCATCAGAGCATGGTATTTAGACTCCTAAGTGGCTGATCATGGACAAAACCTGGGCACATGGACCCCTCCATTCTCATCCCCCACTTCCTGCGTTCCAGCCATACACGCAGGCAGCTCTCCAGCTATTCCCTGCATCTCCACTCTTCTGTGCCTTTGTATATTCTGCTGCCTTTGCCCAGAATATCCTCCCTCCCTCCACCTCTTTTCTCTAAATGACTAATTTTCATTTACCTATGGCTCAAGCACTGTCTTCTACAGGAAGTATGAATTGCCTCCTCAGTGGGGGTTCAAGTTGGCACCCAATGAACATGTCAAATTACTCATTTTTGAGATTGTCCCTGAGGCTGGAAGTCTCAGAGGCCAGAGAATGTGCATTTTCTTAAAACCCTACCACTTACATCATGTTTTGCTAACTCCACTGTTAAGACCAGAACCTCTTCTGCTCTATGGAAGCCTGAATCATGTGAATGAGTCACATTAACTGGAAGAACAAGACCAAGCTGAACTAATGACAGGTCTCAGGATTTCAATACGTCTCTGGGAGATTTAATGGCTAATACAGCTCTTTTCTCTAGCTATCAAAGAGACAGCCGACACTGTGCAAGCAAGATGGGGCCCTTCTTTCCTCGTGTCTGCTGCACTGGGCTATTTGGAAAGCCTTGCTTTCTCTGGTTATCATGTAGAGCAACACCCAGTGAGAGAGTGTCTCCAAGAATGCTCTCCCAACTGTTCACAGAATCTGGTTGCCAGCCAGGTGGAGAATTATGCTAGACTTTCCTCTCTATTTATCTCCAAAACTCAGTCATCGTGCTGATTCTCCCGCCCCAATCTCTCTCTAATCGCTCTTCCAGCGGAAAACACGAATGGCCTCCATTGAGCTGGAGCTCATCGGGATCAAACGCTTTGGCTTAGGAACCCCTGGGTTACTTGGCGTTGATGTGGGTAAAAAGATTGTATGTCATGGCATCATTTCTTAAGGTCAGGAAGACCTTGCTCAAGGTCAGGAAGACTAAAGAAGTGAATGCAGCTAGAAGCATGAATGAAGCATTCCTTTCCCTCAAAAGGAGAAGAGTTAGTCTCCAATTTTAAAATTTGTGGAAAGTTCCTGAATCTGAGTATGATGATTTAGCCAATTGCTGTGTTGTGAGAGAGCTCAGCTAAGAATATGCTGAGACAGCTCAGAGTTCAGCACTAAAGGAGGTAGTAAAACTTGACTTGAACATGAAGAACCTCAACCCAAGCAACCTGACTTCACCCAGCACCTGTCAGACTGTAAGCACTTAATGAGACACTCACTTTCCTTTTTCTCTTCAAAGACAAGCTCAGTGTGAGCTTAACCCTCAATCGACTCAGGAGCAGAAACTTGCATTCACAGAGGAATGGACCAGGGTCTGCATTTTAGAAATTTGTAAAGGACCCAAAAGTGAAGGAGCCAGAATTATACTCATTTGCCACACGCAGTACTTTAAAAATTTTAAAAAAAATAATTCACAAACATCAAACTAAGAAACCAAACAAAACATGAGCTGAGCCCTAACTGGTATGGCTCAGTGGATAGAGAACGTCGGCCTGTGGACCAAAGAGTCCCGGATTCAATTCTGGTCAAGGGCACATACTTCAGTTGCAGGCTCCTCCCTGGCCTGGGCCCTGGTCGGGGGCCTGCAGGAGGCAACCAATCAATGTATTTTTTTCACATTGATGTTTCTCTCTGTCTTTCCCTCTCTCCTCCACTCTCTCTGAAAATCAATGGGAAAATATCCTCGGGTGAGGATTAAAAAAGAAAAAAAAAACATGCGCTGACACCCTCTAAGATTCCCTTCAGCAACAAATCTACAATTCTGCTCTGGTCCTGACGGCTTTCTTGACAAGAAGAGAAATACATCAGAATTGCGGCAGCGTCTGGTTTCCCACACTGCTGTGAGCAGTTCTTTTCAAAGGCTTCTTTTGCAAAGATGCATCTGCATGTCAAATTAACAGATGTGAATTTGGAAAACCCAGCAAAGAGTAGGGATGTCCTCAGAGGCAGCAGATACAAGTGCTAAGAAAGAGAGAACAATGCAGCTAGCAAATGAAGAAACAACACCAGCTGATCGATATGCACACTTGATGTAACAACGAAGGCGGGAGGGCCACCAGATTTCCAACAGACATACAGAAGCACACCAGCAAACGAGGCGCTGTTTCCTCTCAAGCAGTCTCAGAAGTCTGTTTGGGAAGATAGCTCACCAAACATCTTTAGAATTTCTTTCTTGAAATTTTCTTTAGGGACAGCTGATGCAAAAAAAAAAAAAAATTGTGTCATTCTTTTTAAGTACCATAAGTCACACTGGTACTTATGGTTACGTGTGACTGCTTCTAACATGAAGCAGGAGGACCCAGCGCGGTAACCAGTTTCGCCATCAGCTCTGGCTCTGCACCATCAGTGTTGGATTTTGAAGTTTCTACCGTAAGCCAAAGGAGAGTCAACACAACGTGCCTCAGACCCACTGAAAAGCCCCGGAAGGAGCGCCACTAATGTTTCGAGCAATAGATGCTTCTTTGGAGCAAGGGCATATAGCTCCTGAGGCAATTACTCTCAAGGAGACTCACGTGTTTGGGGCCACATGCCCTGGCAAGACTGCTTAAAGCAGTGGTTTCCATTAAATCAATGGGAAAATACTTTAGGGACAGCTGATGCAAAATTCTGATTTCTGGGCCTCATCCTCTGGAAATCCTGTTTCTTTGTTACCAATGTTTTGGCCCCACCCCATAACAAAGAAACAGAATTTCCGGAGGATGAGGCCCAGAAATCAGGATTTGAAAAAGATTCCCGGTAATTCTAATGTGCAGCCAAGGTTGAGAACCACTAAACCAGTTACTCCCCTAGGGCAGCAGTCGCAAACTTGGCTGCACATTGGAATCACTTGGGGGGCGGGGGGGGGGCGTCACCAAGTACTGATGGTCCGTAGGAAGGCCAGGCATTGGGAGTTCTAATGCCCCCAGGTGACTCTGATGGGCAGCTCACGGCAGCACACTGCTTCAGAGACCAGGTTGTATATTTCACGTGTGTCCTTCCCTGCTTCCTAACATATTCATCCCGTTCTCTGTAGTCACAAGTATAATGTTGGGGAGGCAGCAGCTGCTTAATAAATGTTTGATGAATAAATAATAGGATTAAGTAGGTCCTCACTGCCAGGTTGGATGATCCATGATCCAGTTTGCCTGAGATAGAGGGGCTTCCCTGGACGTGTGACCTTCAGGGTTAAACCAGAAGAGACTGAGGAAAACCAGGATGGCTGGTCACCCTGGAGGAAGGCTCAGAGCAAAGATCAACAACCTTCTGAGGTGAATGTTATTCTTACCCCCATTTAACAGATGAGGAAACGGAAGCAGGGAGATGTTGAGTAGCTCCCTGACATACACAGTAAGTTGTTGACGTGATATTAGACGTCTAACTGAGCAGCCTGAAGCCAAAGGCCATGTACATAATCACTGTGCTAAACGTCCTTCCAATAAGGCTGTGGGTGTTTTGTTTGTTTTTTTATGTTAACCTGTGGCTATCAGCATTGTATTTCCGTGGGTAAGTAACCCTTAAAAATGAAAACGTTTCTTCCTCCTTACGTAGGGCATCTTCAGTTTGGCAAGGTCCAAGCTTGTCCCTCCCAAACTAGAGGGAGAGCCAGAAAGCAGCTCAGCGGGACAGGAAGAAACCCTGGAGCCGAGGTGAGGGGACAGTGCCCGCTTCACCAGCAACACAGGACCACCCAGAACCGCAGACACAGGACCATAAGAACCTCAGACACAGGCCCATCCAGAACCGCAGACACAGGACCATCCAGAACCAGCAGGCACAGGACCACCCAGAACCGCAGGCACAGGACCATAAGAACCGGCAGACACAGGATCATCCAGAACCAGCTGACACAGGATCATAAGAACCAGCAGGCACAGGACCATAAGAACCGGCAGACACAGGATCATCCAGAACCAGCAGACACAGGGCTGTCCAGATCAGCGTGTTCTCCTGGTTGGAGCCCCAGGTGCTGACAGTGGGCAAGACAGAGCCCCGATGGACATCTTCACCAAGAGAAGATGTGTGTGTGTGTGCGCACATGTGAGTGGACTGCCCATCCTATAGTTGTTCTGTTTATATAAAGAGCCCTAATTACAAGTAGTGGGTGTCTGAGAGAATGCACACCCCAAAGTAAATCTTTTACCTCAAATCCTTCCTCCAAAATGCCTTCCAAAATTATTTTAAATTCTATCAGCCTTTTTTTTTTAAAACCAAAAGGAGTCTGTGAGAACTTAGAATACTAACAGTTTAGTAAAATCCTAGAAACTTTAGTTCCAACCACTATAGATCTACCATACAATCCAGCAATTCCACTTCTGGGTATGGAAATGAAAACTGGATTTCAATGAGATATAATCACTCCCATGTTTATCAAAGCATTATCACAATAGCCAAGATAAGGGAACAGCCTGAAGGCCCATCAGTGGAGGCATGGACAAAAAGATGTGAAGCATATACATAATAGAATATTATTCAGCAACGAGAAAGAGGGATATCCTCCGATCTGCAACAATACAATGGACCTTTAGCACATAGTACTGAGCTAAGTCATAGAACGACAAGTATTATATGAGAATAAAATGGTGGTTACCAGGTGATGGGAGTGGCAGTAAGAGTACTTTGAAGGGTACAAACTTGTAACAACTAGTCAATAAGCCATAGAAACGAATGCACAATATAATGAATCTATATATATAAAAACCTAAGTGACCAGACGACTGAATGATTAGTTGACCGGTCACTATGATGCACACTAAGCACCAGGGGGCAGATGCTCAATGCAGGAGCTGCCCCCTGGTAGTCAGTGTGCTCCCACAGTGGAAGCGCTGCTCAGCTGACCAATGGGCGCCTGATGCAGGGCTCACGGCTGGCGAGTGCTGCTGTGGTGGCATGAGCCTTTCCCAATTGAGACTGACTGGGCGTGATCCTGCGGAAGGTGCAGTGGGGCCAGGATGAGCGGGAGTGGCAGGTGGCGTTGGACTGCCAGTTTTGGCCGAATCCCCATAGATTCTAGAGGTCTTGCTGGGCCTCTAGAATCTATCTATAATAATAAAAGCATAATATGCAAATTGACCAAATGGCTGAACAGCAGAACAACCATCCAGATGTCTTTCCAGATGATCTTCTGGATGACCTTCCGAATGAAGCTGGGGCTGCACCATGGCTGTGGGAGCCGAGTCAGCTGGGGCTACAAAGGCCTACTCTTGCATGCATTTTGCGCACGTTAAATTATAATTGGTTGGAATTGTACACTCATTTAAAAAAACATATATATATATATATATGTATGTATATGTATATATATATATGTATGTATATGTATATGTATGCCTAAGCAACCGAACCACCAAATGACTGGAATGACCGGTCACTATGATGTGCACTGACCACCAGGGGGCAGATGCTCAACACAGGAGCTACCTTCTGATGGTCAGTGTGCTCCCACAGTGGGGGTGCCACTCAGCTGAGACCCAACCCAGAGGCCCACAGCCCGGTGGCAGCCACTCCCTCCCTCAGTAGTCCTGCAGATCCAATCTCCAGAGAATGAGCCAGGCACAGACGGACCAGCACCACCATCATGATCCCAACAGCACTGCTGGCCTCCTGGAAGTTGGCCTCGGGCACCACAGCTGCTTCCTCTCACTAGATGCTCCACAAGGAAGAAACAATATGAAAACAGCCTCCAGGTGGCTCCCGACAACTGGTGCGAAAGTCAGTGAGATGGATCCAGATCTCAGGCCAGCAAGGGCATCCCACCACCTGCCCAGAGGGCCGATCGGGCCCTGGCCACCTCTCCCCCTTTGGGACCTGACCCATGCACGAATTCATGCACCAGGCCTCTAGTAGACAATAATACTGCACTATCATTATGCAGTGTGATAAACATTGCTATATTGGCAATCATATCACAATATGTAAATGTATCAAAGTAACATACTGTACTTATAAACTTACCGAATGTTACATGTCAGATTTATGTTTTAAAAAACCTCTAGTAATTTTACCACATTAAATCCCTTTCTAGACCTGGAGAAACAGAAGGTTCTAGCCCCCTTTTTTTTTGGAATAGCCCTTGGCCATCTTACTCAGGCCATGATAGGACTGCCCACATCAGCACCATGTTCTAAGCTACGGACCTCAATGGGAGGGAAGACGGGTGACTAGTGTCCCTGTCCTAAGAGAACAGGCAAATACAATGCAGAGATCCTCAGTGACTCCGAGATCGCCGTGTTTAAAGGAAAAGAGGCAGAGGTGGCAATCTGGGGCCGTACCTGAAGGGCGCCTCTCTGTGGAATCGCTCCCAGAACTGCTGCTGCTCAGCCTCGAAGGCGGTGCACCTCTGCCGGAGAAGGGCCACCTCGCTGGCCTGCAGGGGGGCCACGTGCTGCCGCACAGTGATGGCCAACTTTTTTATGTTGTTCCACTTCTCAGGCAGCTCCTGCAAAGGAGACGTCAGTGTGCTCAGACCCACCCGGTGCTCCCCTCCCCACAGTCCCAAAGCAGAGCAGTACCCAGGGTCCTCATCTCTGGTGCAGTGCCAGGGCCAACGTCCGGTACCGCTGGACCGTTCTCAACCCCCCTGCCTTGACGTGTCTCCCGGGTTGCCTGCTCTTCTGACTATCACCTACTTCCCACTCAATACCGTTCTTCTTGTTCCTCTTGACCTAACCTCTAACCTGGAAATCCGTGCCCTTTTCTCTACTTTCAGGAGTGCTGGGCTATTTTCTATGTCTCCATTTCTACTTACAACATCTTAATGTGTCTTAGACCTGCTTTTTTTTTTTTTCACTGAATCAGAAAGTTGGCTCATCCCTATTTCTGGTAAAAACAACAACCCAAAACACTTATCTACATCAATTCTCCCACACCACTCCAGCATCATATTGTTTCAAATTTATTGAATTTCAAGTATGTGCTAGACATTACACATACATGACACATATAGTCCAAAACATGGACCTTGGGTTGTCAGCAAGCCCTGATTTCCATTTCCTTAAACCCACCTCACCCCACTCTGAAATCTTGGAACTTTCCCTCTGTTTCTTTTATTAGGAAAACATAAACTTAGCACTGACCTCCAGCTGCTTAAACACCGTTTCTGGCAACTCTTGTTCATAGGTCTTCAGCAATTCAATGGTTTGCTTTAAGGGCTCAAACATCTCGTCAGTGCTGCTCTGCCGTTCTTTAAGAGCCATAAGGTGTTGCATAATCTCGACCAGTCCGTTGGAATCTCCTTTTTCGACTTTCTTGAGCAAGCTGCCCTCACTATTTTTTATAAACACGTCAAGGTCTGCCAAGCTAAGCAAAACAGAAGAACATCAGGAGCCATTTTCCTTCTACTCCTCAATAGGAAGTTTTGTATTTCCCCAACAATAATAGTTTTTTTGTTTTTTTTATGGAAAGCTTTGCATGTGCCCAGCACTGGGCACTGTCTACCAGTATATCGTGATGATAAGAGTCAGCCCTATTCAGAAGTGTCAGTAATGAGAGACAAGGCTGAGACCTCTGTTCTGGAAGAGACTCACGTGACACATTAATGGGACAACTGATGAAATATAAATAGTTGCCAATTCTCCAGCAACATTAACTTCCTGCTTTGGATAATAGAAATGTTATCATTTGGGAAAGCTGAGTGAAGGTGAAGAAGGTAAAAGAGAACTTGGTGTTATTTTTGCAACATTTTTGGAAATATGAAATTATTTCAAAGTGAAAAGTTTAAAATTTGAAAATAAAAAAAAAATACTGTGGCCTCTAAAATTATACACATTTGTGTTTGATTCTGACACAAGATGGCCAAATCATTTAGCATCTCTGAATTTCAGTTTCCCCATCTATAAGATTGGAAAGATCATTTCTGTCTCACTGGATATTGTGAGAATTAAATGAAATTTATTGTTTAATTCAAAACTATTTATTTATTGAGCATCTATTATGAGCATGCTTCTAGGTCCTGAGGATAGAATGATAAACAAGATAAACAAAGGCTCTGCCCTTACAAATTTACATTCTAGTGGGGAACGTAAAGAGGAAACAATACATTGTATAGTTTCACATGATGATGAGTGCTATGAGATAGAAACTCAGACTAGGACCATTTTCCATGGAGCAGTCAGTGAAGGCTTCCTTCCTAAGGGGATATGTAAGTGAAAATGTAAATGATGTGAAGGAGTGAGCCACAGAAGGAAGTGGGAGAAGAGCTTTGCAGATAGAGGGGGCAGCATGAGTGAAGGCATGAGAACTCTGAGTAGGGGAAGGACATGCCTTGGTTTATGTTTTCTAAAGGACCTGTAGCTGGAGGAGAGCAGGTTTTATTGGAGGTGGTAGTAATGATGATAGTGGTAGTGGTATTGGTGATGCGGATAGGAGAACAGAGGGCATTTTTAGGGACTACAGTCAGTGTCCAGGTGACAGGAGATGTTGGCTTTGACTTGCATGGTGGACATCAGGAGTGGTCAGAGTCAAGATAATTTTGCATGCAGAACCAGCGGGACCCACTGAAGGATTGGAGGAAAGGTGTGAGGAAGGAATGAGTAAAATCCATAATGACTCTGGTAATGGGGTAATAAATGATGATGCCATTTAAAGATATAGGAAAGAATTGTGGAAGACTAGATTTTTTGGAGGGAGAGGAATAAGTTTTAAACATGTTTGGTTTAAGATGACAGTTGAGTATAATTCTAGAGTTCCTGAGAGGTAGGGCTGAAAATACAAATTTGGTAGTTACCAGCACATGGATGGATTAACATGTTGGGTTAGAGATCATATAGCATACAATGTAGATAGAAGAAAGTTCAGGATTGAGGTTTCAGGAATTTTAATATTTTTAGGTCTAGAAGAGGAGATGAATTCCGCCGTGGAGACCAAGAAAGCAAAGGTTTAGAAGGAAAACCAGAAAAGTAAGGTATCTTGAGAGCCAGAGGCTCTTGAGAGTCTCTTTTCCAACCTGCTTGGGAAAGAGGGAGTGATCAGTTGTGCTGAATCCTCCTGAGCAGAATAAGTAAGATGATGACGGATCATTACCACAGGACACGGCCATATGAGAGTCATCAGTGATCTTGACAAGAGTGGTTTCAGTGGAGAGGTCTAGCAAGGAGGCCTGACTGCCGAGTAAGTGGAGAATTGTCAGCTTCTGTTTCAAGCTGTCTGGTATACACAATAAGATGGATAACCCTTCTGCTAAAACAATTAAAATGCTGAAGCAAATATTTTAAAATCATTTAAAAACGCATCACTAAGGTGGCGTGAAATTAAGGAATCTCCAGAGGCTGAAAATGTAGTGAAAGCAAGAACTAAGCAAGATTCAAGGCTGGATTTCATGTGATCATTTCTACGGAACCCTGGAAATCTTGAACTAGTTTGATTGCTTTGTGTTATGTGAGGAACAGATGATTAAGCCTCATACCCACACAAGGTGAGGGAACTAATAGGAAGCTGCATATAAAATTGCAATACAATAAGGTGAACAAGGAATAAACATGCTGCACAAAAGGGGACAGTATGGAAACTTGCCTGCCTTAATCTGGGCACTAGGTGGACCCCTGGGAAAGTTAAAGTCCAAAGGGGTGGGAAGAGTCCCTTGATGACTAGCAGAAATAAATATAAATCCTTTCTGGAGGAATGAGAGTAAAATTCACTCCTCAAAAGAGTTCCCAGCCAATATTCCAAGGAACATTTTTATAATCAAAAGTCACAAAATATACAAGGAAGGAAGTCACCATGGGTAGAAGGCAGCAGAAACAGCAACATTAAACCTGTTAAGATTTCAGATATTAGAATTCAAATGCAGGATATAAAATAACAATATTTAATATAGTTAAAGGACAGAAAAAAAAAGAACTCTTGCTTAAGCACCTTGCTTTATCATTCCTGACCCACATAGCAGGCGAAAGTGCTTTCCCTGCATTTTCTCGGACATCAATTCAGGACTGACTAAGACAAAGGACTTCATCCTTTTAAGCACAATATATCAGCTTAGACAGAAATGGTTTCTTTAGGAATCACCATCCACCAGCCTAGATAAGCTCTTCCAGTCTCAGTAGTCAGAGCCCCTGCCCTAACCCAGCTCTAAGTTCAAGCATAAAAATTCAACATAGTCTCAGAGTCAGGTTTGGAGGCAATTTGAGAGGTTCTTCAAATATGCCCAGAACCTTTCTATTGAATGATAGGCTATAGAAATGACAAAATTAATTTAGATGAATAACATAAAAATGATGGCCTGTGATGGCATTACTTTGTGAAGAGAAGCATAGGAAAAGCTCTGAATATGTGTTTTAGCAAAGGAAAAATGATTGCACTGTGCTATGATAATGGACAAGTCCAGGATGAAGAAGGTAACAATTTTCTGTAGGCCTTTATGTGAACTTCATTTATGGCAAGAAGAAACAAACCATCTTTAAGTTGATGAATCAGAATTTGTCTTTATTAGAGGGTATGCTCTAATTGACCCTGTGATCCCACTTCTAGGAATATATCCCAAGAAATCAGAAACACCAATCAGAAAGGATATATGCACCCCTATGTTCATAGCAGCACAATTCACCATAGCTAAGATCTGGAAACAGCCTAAGTGCCCATCAGTAGATGAATGGATTAGAAAACTGTGGTACACCTACACGATGGAATACTATGCTGCTCTAAAAAGGAAGGTAGGTAGGGGGGTAAGAGATCAACCAAAGGACTTGTATGCATGCATATAAGCCTAACCAATGGACATAAGACACTGGGGAATAGGGGAGGCTAGGGGACTGTCTAGGGCGGGGAAAAAAATGGACACATATGTAATACCCTTTGTAATAAAAAATAAAATTAAAAAAAAAAACTTAAAAAACGGATAAATAAAAGTGAAGCCTTAAAACTAGAGCAAAGAACAAGAGGGTATAAATATGAGCAAGCAAAATTATAAAATAGCCAAATAGAAGACCAAAAAATGGAGAGTATAATTAACATTTAAAGCTTATTGAGTGGATTAAACAGAAGAGTTAGACAAAGCTGAAAGAGTGAGCTAACTGCTCTATTATAAAAATGGAGGAGTTATCCAAACTGCAATGCAGTAAGTCAAATAATGGAAAAGTATGGAAACTGTTAGAAGACACAGAAGACAGTGAAAAAAGTCTCGCGTAAGTATAATAAGCGCTCCAGAATACACAGATAATGGGCAAGAAGAAATCATTGAGGAGATCCTGGCTAAGAATATTTTTGAATTGTTGAAAGACACCAAATGTAAAGCCCAACAAATTCCAGGTAGAATCAATGTAAAGAAACCCTCATAGGCACTGCAATATGAAACTATAGGACAAGAAAGGGACAAAACAAATCTTAAAATTAACTTCATAGCAAAGACAGATTTCTACATAGAAGGAAAAAAAAGACACCATAAATAAATAAATAAATAAATATCATTAGATGATAGCAAAATGGAAGGCAGGACACAGTGCAATTATATTTTCAATAGAATCACAATAAATGCCTGGTATTCTGGAATTTTTCTTCCAAAAAACCATGTTTTTTCAAGAAATTGGGCAAAATATATACATCCTCAGACAAAGAAAGAATGAGAGGCACCCAGATATATGAGCCTGCTGTACTAACCTGGGGCCCTGGATGGCTGGCTCCATCACCTTGATGTGGCGCACCTGGCCCTGCCGCTGTGACCTGATGCCCCTGGACGACCGGACCCTCCACTTTGTGCCTGGCCCCATAGTTGTCACCTGACACCCCTGGATACATAGACCTGACACCAAGACCCAGTGCACCTGAGCCGGTGCCCTGGAAGACCAGACCCACTAAAATGAGGAGAAAAAGAAACAATCCCCAAATGAAAGAAAAGGGGGAATTGGCAGAAAAGGAACTAAATGAAATGGAGGCAAGCAATTTATTGGATATAGAGTTCAAAGTAATAGTTATAAGGATGCTCAAACAACTCAGTGAGAACTACAAGCAACTTAATGAGAACTATAAGGAACTTAGTGAGAGCTTTATAAGCATGAAAAAATATGTAGAAACGATGAATAAGAATCAACTGGAAATGAAAAATGACATAGTTGAAATAAAGAATACCCTGGAAGGAATTAACAGTAGATTAGAAGAAACTGAGGACCAAATCAGTGAATTAGAAGACAAGGTAGAAGGAAATACCCAATGAGAGCAGCAATTAGAAAAAATTTTTTAAAAAGCAGATGGATAGTTTAAGGGAGCTTTGGGACAACATGAAATGTAACAACATCTACATCATAGAGGTACAAGGAGAAGAATCTAAGCAAGAAATAGAGAACCTGCTGGAAGAAAGAATGATAGAAAAG